GATTCAAGCTGCATCCGAGATGTTCCTAGCCTAGTATAGCACACCTCTCATTCGCTGATGATGTTATGATCTTCAGCTCTGCCGACAGCCACTCTTCAGCAGATTATGTTTATATTGCAGGATTTTGGCAGAGGTTCGGGGCTTGTAATAAACCATAGCAAGTCAGAAATATTCCTAGGCGGTGTAAGTGAACAGATGGCAAATTCAATAGCTACGGTGATAGGCATCAACCGAGGAACTCTACCAGTCAAGTACTTGGGGGTTCCATTGAATCCCACCAAGCTCACTCGGATAGATTTTCAGCCACTGCTAGAAAGGATAAAAGGAAAACTCCAAGCATGGAGTACACGATTTCTTTCCTACGCCGACAGGGTCCAACTAATCTCAACGGTGATTTATGGCCTTGTCAACTTTTGGAGCTCAATCTTTGTTCTCCCGAAGTTCTTCCTCAAGCAGGTTGATGGGCTATGTGCAAAATTCTTATGGAAAGGTAACCTAAATGCTATAGGCTCATGTCGTGTAGCATGGGATACCATCTGCTCTCCCAAAAAAGAAGGTGGACTCGGTTTGAGAAAGTTGGAGGATTATAATACCGTCTTTAGGCTGAAATTAATTTGGATCCTATTCACTAAATCTGGGTCTTTATGGGTGGCTTGGGCAAAGCATAATATTTTTAAATCCTGCAGTTTTTGGACATGCAAAATTAATGGCAGATGTTCCTGGATATTGCGGAAGCTCCTTGGTCTCAGAGAAAAAGCACGACTATTCCTCCGTAAAGAAGTGAAAGACGGTAAATCTACTAGCTTTTGGGATGATTGTTGGACAGATTTGGGGTCATTCATTAGCCTTGCATGTGAGGCAGGACCGAGGTTGCTTCGAATAAAACGTGAAGCATCGGTGGCAGAAGCAGTTACAGATGGAAGCTGGCAACTTCGGGGGGCAAGGACTGAAGCGATCCAAACGATTCAGATTAAGTTGGCAGCCACAACTCCTCCAGCGGAATCTGAAGGTCATGACATCACACTATGGAAGCAGAAGGTGGATACTTACAAGACTGTTTTCTCCACTGCGGCAACGTGGGAGCTGATCAGAACAAGGTCACCGTTAGTGGACTGGTTTAGGAATGTACGGATACTGCAAACGACCCCTCGGCTAGCTCTGCTACATTGGCAAGTGCTTCTGCGAAGGCTACCGACTAAGGACAGATTATTATGATGGGGTTATCAGGTGGACCCAACTTGTTGCCTATGCAACCAGGAAGTGGAGACTCATAGGCACCTATTCTTCACGTGTCCGTTTAGTAAAGCGTTATGAGATTATTTTGCAGATTGTTGCTGGCAGCAGCCACCATCGGACTTCGTCTTATGTCACCAGTGGCAGAACTCGCAACAAGATTTGAGCAGAAACAGGTTGCTCATATCTAAACTCCTTCTCCATCAAGTTGTTGATATGATCTGGAATGAGCGAAATTCCAGGATATTCAGGCAGAAGTCAAAGCCGATGCAGGTTATGCACGCCAAGTTGGATCGTAGGATGCGAACGTTATTGTTGTCTCAGCAGCTAAGAAGTAGTCCGTCAACTAAGAGTTTTCTTGAGGATTGGTATTTTATAACAGAAGGCCGACGTTAGACTTTATGATAATTGTTTTGCCCACTTGTTAATGGAAATCCACTGTCTTTGTATATGCCTCTTTTTGTAAACAAACTGATATAAGTTTTCTTTTAGATCAATACAATCACATTAAACCAAAATAAAAAAATCTCGTTTATTAACCGTGAATTAAGCTTCGTTAGTTTAGTTTGCAATTTCTGAATAATCCATTTTGTCAATAGTCCTCCATAGATATTAATTTCATTTAATTTGTTTCTTGTATGCTTCCGTTGAGACTAACATAAAAATACATATACAGCCATACATCTCATCAAAATTAATGATGATGATGATCATGAGGACGAGGATGCCATACAATTTCGAAGAATATTCACATAATCTGCTTTTTCCATACACTTGCAAATTGTAACAATTTTAAATTCGTGACTTTCTTGTTATCATTATTGCATAATATTATATATGTAACACATTATATATATATATATGTTATGTATGATACAATGACAGAATCTAGAAGAGGATTCTTACGACAGCCATGTAGGATTTTGTGTGGGGTCCACCCACTCGTTTTGGAGTCAACGTCATCCCACTGCATGCCCGACATCTGTGCTTCACTATTAAATTTGATTAGGACATAAATACATCCGATTTTTAATAAAACAAAATTAAATATATTTCCCATGTACTTTTTAAATTCTGATGCGTACATGGATCAGGTGTGCTATCTCTAATAAAATTCAAGCGCTACGAATTAAATTAAGTATTGAAAGACGTTTCAAACCTCTAGTTATGATAGCCTTGAGAGACCGAATTGAAAGTATTCAAAATAGTTCCTCTTCAAGTCTCAGAATATGCATGTATTCATGCACTCGTTATATACTTATATATATATATATATATATATATATATATATATATATATATATATATATATATTA